AGCCTTAAATGATATTGGTACCAGCACCCATTAGGTAAAAAATCCACACCCAGAAGTTTTTTACGGCAAGCATACATACAGTTTGAGACACGAATGTGTTTCTGATCAACGTAGCTTGCATGTCGAGCGAGATATGACATGTTTGGGCTATAAAGACTTACTTACATGCTTGAAAATTCTTCATAATTAACTCAAGTTAACACGTGACAATTTGACTAGATTCTTAAAATAAAACTTTGAAAATGGTCGGATGTAATACAAAAAGGATCGGATTCCACCATGTTCAGAAAACAAGAAACATTGCTTTAAGCAAAGCAGTCACCAAGTGTACATTGCATACTGAGAATAGTATATCATAGATAATGCCGTAAAGACCCTGTGCAAACTAGTATAGATTTGACCCACTTTAGAACCTTCGTGGGAAACAATTTTAGAAGGAATCACACCTTACTCATGTTAAACATGTGCGGCGCATTGTGCACTGAACAATGCACCGGCAAAAGTGAAAACAGCCATAAACCCTCAGTATGTTCATAGATGCCAAATAGCATAAGGAAAACGCTTTAGATCTTGCCCACAGACCTGGAGGATGCAAAAGCATTTTACTATATGGAGTAATGGTAGGACGTAACAGAGTTTAAGGAAGCACGGCTCTTCTTTGTGAATTATAACAATTGAATTATTCTTACATCTGATGTGGCGGGTTACTAAAATTGATATGAGTTTAGAAATTGCCCCTAATCTACAAGAGTAGTGTTCTGACTGTATTTTTTTGGGTGTTGCTTTCAGGGACGGTTTGATCATCCGTACACCTACTTTCTCTTCTATGGAAATGGACAGTATAGGAAACTTCATTCCATCTAAGCAGTTACGGGAGAAGTAAAATGCTCCTCGTCGTGAGCTACCATACGGTGAAGATAGAGATTCTTCGTCTGGCAGTGACAGTTGACATTGAATAAATCTGTGATCTACTTCATTCCAGTGTAAAGGAATACAGTAGTCAGTCTACCGGAAGTTAATCTGTCAATAGTCGGTGTTGCTAGGAGGTTTTGTAAAGCTGGCAGCGTTCCGATCCTCCAAATGAGAGGGGATCTCCCTGTAAGATATGGTATCAGAGATAGGCCATCACGTACGGGCCGTTAGCACTGAAATAGATGCCCAGTCGAGATCATCAGCCAGAAGTAATCGAAATTTGTGATGTACGAGCTCAAAATGTGTAGTCTGAAGAAATTTTTGCTTTCAGTTGCTTGAGTGTTTTGGACACCGACAGTCTCGTTCATCTTTCATCTCGTTCTAAGGTTGCTAGGGTCAAGATACTAATGCCGTTTGGTAATTGTCAGGATTTCATGTCTTCCCGAACTTAGTTTAAATTATTATCCAGATGGTGCGTGAAGTACAAATTCATGTGAAACCTTCACTGGTATCGTGTTTGAAGATATGCAAATGTCTATCTAATTTTCCTACATCCATGGGCGACCTATCGGTTGCTAGGATAGCATTTATAGATCCGACGTATCTTTCTAACGTGTCTATTTTTCTATGTTTTCAAAACTATCATATTTGTATCTTAAGATTAATTTTACTGTAATAAATTCAGACCGGAGCATGCTCATTTGTTTTCTGATATCCAGTATTCTAAATGTCTAATTTGCTGTCAAGTTCAAACTATGCTCACGTTAAAAGATTCATTGATTTTGGACAGAAATTTGTGTGTTTTGATTAGTTCAATCAAACTACTGGGGCTATAATAAACGTCAAATCGTATTCGATCTTTTTGTTATTGTTTTAGTTTTTTAACTGAATATTATTATTCAATTAATCTGTACATTGTTTATTCAATTAACATATGTTTCTCTAAGTAGTACGTATAGAAATAGAAAAAATTGAAGTCTTATGATTATTAGAGTTAATGCGTAATTGTTCATAACTTAGAATCTACAAAGTAAGTCCATAGCTGGATGACTCTTACGTGCGATCATATGTAAACTCGTGCGCCAAAATTGTTTTCCAGTTAGGGACGTTCAAGTCAAGGTTAACGTTTAAAAGAAATTTTAGTTTATTGATAAAAAGAGTTAACTACTATGTTGATAGGTTCGTACATTGACTTGGTCCGTGGTTTTATATGATCGTTTCATATGTTACTAAAACTTTACCTTTTGTTATCGTAAAGCAATCATGGACGAAAAAACAAAATATTTTCTTTAGCACAATGTAACGTAACCTGAAAAGATACATGTCTGAATGTTCAATACATGATATCAAATTTGAAGTTTGATTCTCGTATCTTAATTATCATACATGTATGTATAATCGAATGAAATTTCAATCCAAATTATGTCCAAATGATCTAATGTTTTTTATAAGTATAAATATAAATTACAATAAATCACATAATAACAGAAAGTGATTTTCTTTTTCATTACAAAAATTTGAATTTTCAAAAATTTTGGAAAAATAAAATAAAAAAAATTTTAACTTTCACTCAAAATTAATTTGTTAAACATTTATTTTAAGTGAAATATTTTTAAGAATTTCCTATTAATTTTTAAGGATAAAGTATCTTTTCTTCAATTGAAAATTTCTTTAGAGAAATTTGATAAATATATTATCATAAAGATTATGTTTTTTATTTCAGATGTGATTTATATGTGTAAATTTTTTTCAATTAATTGTACAATCAACGTATTTAGGTTTTAAAAATATTTATTTCATAAATTATTTCTAATTTTTTGTAGATCATGATTATAAAACAAATAACAATATTTTTTTAAATTGAAATTTTTTAGATATTTTAAACATGTAAAATAATATATTTGTAAATAAAATATGTCTAATTCTGTACTTAAAACATAAAATTTAGTAAGGTTTCTATTCAATACACAATGAAAATGCAAAGTTGATGTAAAAGCATACATGTTTGGAAAATGAAAAGAAATTTTAAAGCAAAATATATACAAATGATTTATTGCTCATGAATAATTATTTTTTATTTTTTATTTTTTTCCATGAATTAAGAACAGAAAATACTCTTCTTGTCTAAAATTAAAAATTTTGATTTTATAATATTCTGCAAGTAAAATAAACGGATTACTATTTAATTTTTATTGAGAGTTAATTTTAATAATTTAAAATTTCAAGAAAATATCTGTAATGATTTTAATTTAGTTTGGAAAGATAATTTTTTTTAAATTTTCATTTTATTATATATTTTTAATCATATTCTTTGATATTTTTATCATTTTAGATATAATTCATAGTATAATAGTTATATAATAATTTCTAAAATCAATTTATTTACGTCTAAAAAACTGCTTTTATAAATAAATTCATTTTTTTTATAGGTCATACTCAAAACAAAAGTTATTTTTAAAGAAGGCTTCATTGAGATTTTTTGGATAAAACCTGTAAGAGAATATCTGTTACAAATAAAATATGTGTCATTTATAAATTTTTATTATAAAATTAAGTGGATTTTTTACTCAATGCATTATGAAGATATAAAGTTGATGAAAAGTCAAACATTAATTAAAGAAATTATAAATTTTACTGTTCATATAATTGAAAAAAAAATTAACATGGAAATTTTGCACACAATTTCATAATCATTGTCAACGATTTTATTTAACATGAGATTTGTTAATTTTAAGATTTTTTAATTTTCTATATGTTTGTTGTACATTTGTGAAAAACTAGACTTTTCATGCAGTTTCATAGAAACTCAATGCACACATATTTCATGATAGATGTGTAAATAAATGGATCCGGAATGAATACCACATACAATATTATGTTTAATCTTTATTTACATTAGTGAATGAAGTTTTGATTTGCAACAATGTAAATGAATCATGCATGTTTCATTTGTATATTACCACACCAAACAAAAAACACATTTCAATATTTAATCTTCAAAAAGGAATTTGAGTTTTAAATGTCTAAATGAAACTTATTCTTGGTATATTTTATTAAAGTAGCTTCATTTACATCTATTTCATATTTATGATAAATCGATGATCATAAATTTGAAAAAAAATGTTATATATATATATATATACATTTTCTTTCAAAAATCTATTTGAGTTTAAAAAAACATGTTGAATAATTAATCTACAATACATATTTCAATCTTGTAATATCTGCAAATAGTCATCATAGTTTTTAATTTCAACATTCAAAAAACTGGGATGAAACGTAATCAATTGTTACAAATGGAATAAGTTCTAAATAAGATATTGTAACATACAAATCTTTTGGATGTGAAATATTTTTAAATTTACCATCAAGGTAATGATAGATTCAGTGAATTTATATATGACAAAATACATGTGAAAAGAATTCAACTTCCCGAATATAAAATGGAATCGAGTAAGGAAATAAATCACGTCCGTTGGACAAATTTACAACGGGTAGGAAGCACAAGTGCAACAAGAGATATGAATTTGCGAAAATGCGAAATACGTCTAGTACAAATTCGAGTAAAGTATGATTTCCCTCAAGAACTAGTAAAAACCGTTATTTCTCCGGCAAATGGTTTATTTCAAGAGCCAAAATCTTGAACGTACTCGAATCCTATTACAATTTAAAAGTTGAAAACCAGCAACAAACTCCGGAGCAACTTGCGTAGGACTCGCTCGCTGGCTTTGAACGAACTCTAAGAAATGGAGAAATTACGCCAAAGCGAAGAGCGAATCATGGAAATCGGAATGGGATGACTTTTATTTTACTATGACTTGCAGCTCAAGGCGGTCAAAGATACTCACAACAAAGGAGAACGGAAGGTCGTGGAAACGGATGAAGAGAAAAACAAAAGAAGGGAAGGGCGAAGGTTCCGAAGGAGGAGGGGCCCAGGCGGTGGACACGTCCTCGACTGACTGACTACGTACAGAGCCATGAGTACCGTAGTGACAGGAGGGAAGGGAGGGGCAGCACGAGCAGAGCCTTGATCTGCACGCTAATTCTACAAAATATTGAAAAGGGTGTCACAATTCAGTAATATGGCGGAAAGCATGGGGCGGATCGCACTAAATTGACTTGCGTTTCCTCCGTTCCAGTCGTCTTGCGCCTGAAGGCAGAATCCAATCGAGCATACTGGTGTGGACAGAGACTGAGAGAATTTGGGTCGGGGAAATTAGACAATCGATAGAGAGAGTGAGAGTGAGGGTCGTCGAGGTTCGTGCATTGGGCCGATTTGTCAACGAGGCCGAAGTGCAGAGCTGTTTTGTGCCAAAGTCCCGTCCTCCGGAGCAATTCACAGAGGAGGATTTGATCCTTCGGATGGCCACGACGACTGTCGAAGAGGCGAGCACGGATGGAGGAGCCAAGGGAGCTCCGGTCTGGGAGAAGGGTGCAGGCCCTGCTGGAGGAGGAGAACCGGGACATACGAGAACCGTCTGCTTTTCTTCGGGGAACCCTAGGATGGAATCCACTCGAGGAGTTATGCACTGTAACACCACTCCAGATTCTGGAAGCGCAGATCAATTGCCGGTGAGGAACATTTCAATGGTTCGAATTTTGTTCTGTCGATCTCGCGTGCCTCGATTTTTGAAATTGGAAGTTTGTCGCTGCAATGGGGAGAGTCTAATGGTTTGGTGGATGATCGGAAGGTCGACCGCAGTTAGCGCAAATGGCTGACATTTGTGATGCTTTTTATTGATGCAGATAGCAACCGAGAACCATCATCGTTTGACTACACAACTGGAGAGGCAAAAACAGGTACGTCTTTATTTTGCTGCTTGGTGATACAGCTTGAAGGTCATTGGTTATCATATATATTCATACAGATATACATCTGTTTCCCTACGTTTGTTCACTTTTGCCATTGATCAGCATCTTTTTCTACGTTGAAATTCTGAATATTGAGTTCCCGTGAAATGTGGGACTATATAACAAATGGTCGCAGTATTACGAAGGATTTTTAGAAGACGCAGAAACAAGAACAGATTCTTCCATTTCGTTGGCCGTGGAGAAGGCCACGAGCCCAGAACTTCAACGAATGCAGCAAGATATGAAGAAGGTTCAGGAAGAAAACAAGTCTTTGCAGCAGGTGCTTCAGATTGTCTCTATCTATCGTCTGTAAAATTTTGGAGTCATATGTGGGTTTCAGCTGATTTTTGGTTGATCAGCTATGTTTTTGTTTTTGGTGTATATGAAACTGGATGCTTCGAACTCCAACGTATCTACTTCTGAGCGACGTTCATTTGTGGGTGAAGAAATTGTGTCAGTTTATCAATTGTTAAATTCGAGAGGCGTATGTTGGTTGTAGCTGTTCTCGAGTTCATAACAGTCGTCTTTTTCTTTGGTATATTTTTGAAACTGCATCTTTCGAACTCCATCCTCTCTACTCCTGATCGCCGTTCAATTATGGCTGAATAGATAGTCTCAGTTTGTCATTTGTCTGATTCGAGAGGCATATGTCGATTGTAGCTGTTCTGAAGTTGATCAGATTCGTCTAAGTCCTTCGTGTATTTATAACATTGCTTGTTACGAATTCCACTGTATCTACTTCTGAGAGTTATTTAATTGTGTCTGAATAGGTGAATCAGATTCATCTCGATAATCAAAAAAGGCGGCAGCAGAAGTCCAAGGAACGGAAAGAAAGGTGAGTTGATTTTGGTAGTTCAGTTCTGGGAGTGTATTTCATAGGTAAAATTAAAACTCGATGATCAGTTGTCGCGTGGCTCGAGAAAGTTCGATCATTTTTCAGACTAAGTTCTACTTCTCTGGGACAATTGAGAAGTTGAAGTGAATGTTTCTAGCTGGTTAGATTCAACAGTCGATTCAAAAGCCTAGTGTTGATGCACAATATCTACTTCGGGGACTTGAGACGAGCTTCTGTTTTCTTTTTACAGGGGAACAGCTAAGATCAAAGAACGCGATGAGCAAATTACTAATCTAGAGAAGCAGGTAAGAGCAGGACTTTTGGGTAAAGTTCAGACCGAGACTGCTTCCTCTGAAGCAGTGCGAATCGAACTTCTCGAACTTGTCTCGGTGCTTTGTCATTTCATTGTTTTCTGCGTCCGTGTTCATGTATCTTAGCTAATCGCACCGTGTGTTGAATTCAAGGTTCAGGATTTAATGGACGACATTGAGGCTCCAAAAATGCGGGAGTCGAGTGCTAACGCTGCAGAGTTAGGAGAAGGCACCATCCTGCCCCACAGCGTTTCAATTGATATAAGGAACCATCCAGCCTCAAACAACATCCAACCTCAAACAACACCCGAGGTACTGCTTTCACAGGCTATTTCAGAGATTGAGAAGAAGCAGATATCTTCGCTTCAAAAGAGGCCAAAAGATGTGAAAGATTCAGAGATTGAGAAGAAAGAGCGAACATCTCTGCATCAAAAGAGGCCAAAAGATGTGAAAGATTCAGAGATTGAGAAGAAAGAGCGAACATCTCTGCATCAAAAGAGGCCAATAGATGTGAAAGATTCAGAGATTGAGAAGAAAGAGCGAACATGGCCAAAAGATATGAAAGATTACGATATGAAAGCCTTCTATACATATGTAAAGGATTCAGGTTTCAAATACGATCATCGTTTAACTACACTACAGGTACGTATTTATCTTGCTGCTTGGTGATACAGCTTGAAGGTCATTGTTTATCATATATATTCATATGAAAGACACACACAGATATACATCTGTTTCCCTACGTTTCTTCACTTTTGCCATTGATATGTCGATTGTAGCTGTTCTGAAGTTGATCAGATTCGTCTACGTATTTCGTTTTTCAATAACATTGCTTTTACGATTTCCACTGAATTTACTTTTGAGAGTTATTTCATTGTGTCTGAATAGGTAAATCAATCTCGTGTCGATTATGAAAAAAGGTGGCAGCAGGAGTTCAAGGAATGGCAAGAAAGGTGAGTTGATTTTGATAGTTCAATTCTGGGAGTGTATTTTATAGGTAAAATTAAAACTCGATGATCAGTTGTGAAATAAAATGATCAGTGAATCATTTTTCAGACTAAGTTCTACTTCTCTAGGACAAGTGAGGAGTTGAAGTGAAAGTTATTTTGATAAAAGTTTCTGTTTTCTTATTACAGGCAAATTGCTCAAAAGGGACGCATCACTCAATTGAGTTTTTGGTTATTCTTAAACACAAAATTAATTCTTAGAAGACAGATAGAAGAACAAAATTAGTTATTTATTATAAATTTTTAAAATATCTTTTTATTAATTTGTTGATATTAAAGTTAGATTAGATATTATAGTTAAATTATTGTTTGATGAAGGTTGATTTTTTGATCATTCATCAAATATGTTGAAGTTAATATAGAATAAATCTATATTAACAAATGTAAATAATTGGATATATTTCAATTGTAATCAATAAATGTATATCAATTTTTAGTTTATCAAAATTAAATTAAAAAATTCTCTAAATACTTACATTAGTCATAATTGTTACATAAACATCTTGCATGTCGTGTAATAGATAAAGAGTAGGTATATTGATTGGTATTGTTATGTAAGCGATCAGTTTCTTTGTCAAAAAAAAATTGAGTGTCTTAATTAAGAACGTTACATCCTTAATCAAAGTAAGATTAGACAATTAGAGTTATCTATCACAATTTAGGGTTTAGTCTATGGTTTTATAATGGAATGAAAATCTTTTTAAACCTTACAGTTACTATAATATCAAAACAATCTTATTCTTTTTTGAGTGTAGATTACCTTTTAGGGAATAGGGTATAGCAAAAGAGTAATTCTGGAATGCAATTTTGAATATATATAGAAATTTACATATGTTATTGCTCTACATATAGAGAAAAAGTGGAGAGAAAAATTATAGTCTTGTGTATATGAATTGTTTTAGCAAAAGTCCAATATCTCGTTCGTTGATTTTTAATCTATTCAAAATTTATTTATTTTATATAGAGAAATATTATTTATGAATATATCTTGTGATATATTGAGATGAAGTTTTTATGATTGAAATATTATGGAATACAGAATGTCATTGATTTTTTTAATAATTATCATTGAAAAAACTTTGGAATTGTACTACAAACATTTTATATTAAATATCTCAAGAATTTGAATCGTGAAATATCCGTCTTGGTTTGACTCAACATTTATTTTAAAAAAATATATGGACTATATAAAATCTTTAGTTCAATTACAGAGATGAAAAAATTGAGTAAAGATATAATAAATGTGCATATCAAATAATAAATCATGGAAAATAAAATTTTTGAATTGAAAAAAAAGATGGTGAAAAATAATCAGATTGATGGAATTTGAATGTCAAATTTAAATCTTCCAAATTCAACTAATACCAACTCTTGTTCAGAGCAGAATCTAATAAAAACCGTCTTCAAGACATTAAAAATAAAATAATTTTTTTGTTTGGAATGAAAAATTACTAAAAAATAAAAATTTAGAAAAAAAAATAGAACAATGAAAATGTTATAGGGATAAATAATGAAGATGAATATTCATTTATTTTATTTTTATATTTATGATTATATTATAATAATATTTATGATATCTTATTTCACGGATAAAAGTCTCACTTGGTATACAACATGAGAAATAATATTTTTAGAATGAAATGATAACAATTCATGGAGTGAAATATTGAATTAATTTTGTAAAATTTTTAAAAGATGTATTCTCTTCAAACTCCAAAAATGAAATTGTGGTATTTGAAAAAAAAAAAGTGTATCCATGAATACATTGAAGAATTTTGTAATTTTTAAATATCTATTTTGGATATGAGTAAAATAGTAACTTTGGACGTTTTCAAACGAAACTTGAAAGATCACATTCTAAAGTATATGATGGTAAGCAATCAATTCACAAGGAGTGAAGCAATCAGAAATGTTTAACAAATTTTTGGTTATTTTGGTGTCACACATTGCAAAGAGATAATAATTTCCGTGATCCATCTAGTGCAACGTCGATGGAATTAGGAAAAATTCGACGTAGAGAAAGTTTTGCACCAACAAGAATACTCTCGCCAAGATTTGTAAGTGAGATTTGACGACCAGACATTCTAAATTTGCAAAAAAACTATGCAAATAACGGAATGATTTGAAGATGAGTATGAGTTCGTGATAATCTTCAATAATATGCATGTGAACGAAGAGATCACATTGGCAAATTTTGCCAAATACGTCTGGCACTATAAGTAATACGATCTCATACAATGCCGACCGTTTAACATGGAGGGTATAGAGTATAAAGAGGTGGAGGAATAAGTTTCAAGAAAAGAAGATCAACAATAAACTTACCTCGCGATCTTATTGGTTTTACAAAACGAAGAAAAGTCAAGATTGGAAAAAGTAAATGGTTGGGAGCTTATGGAAGGAATAAGAGTCAAGCCCAACTCATTGTCACTAATGGTTTGATGGAATGACACAAGGTGAGAGTTATGATTGATCATGGAACATAGAGATGATGTATGTTTCATTAGACTAATAAAAGATATTGGGTACACAAACAAATTTTACATCCCGGAGTCCTTGAACGGCATTATTATGGAGTATAAAGATATTTTTCCAGATGCTCTAACTATAGGATTACCACCAAAGAGTCGAGTAGATCACAAAATAGAATTAATACATAGAAGTACACCAACTTGCAAAGTTCTATATCATTTGGCTCCAAACGGATTGGAAGAATACAAAACTCAAGTAAAGAGATGTTAAACAAGGAATTCATTTAACAAAGTGTTTCACTTTATGGAGCTCCGGTGCTCTTTGTGAAGAAGAAAGATATATCCATGAGATTATGCATCAACTACCGGGAGTTAAATCATCAAACGGTGAAAATCAAATATCTACTATCTCGTATGGATGATTTGTTTAAAGAATTTTAAGAAACTAAATACTTCATCAAGCTAAATTTGAGAAATTTGAATTGCATATGAAGACGTCCATAAGACAACTTTTTGTACTAGATATGACCACTTTGAATATCTAGTGATTTCTTTTGGTCTCACAAATGCACCGGCTACATTGATAGGATTGATGAACAATTTTTTTTTCCTTTATTTAGATAAATGGATCATTATTTTCTAAATAATACATTGGTGTATAGCAAAACTTTGAGTGATCATAGAGGTAATTTATAAGTAGTTTAAGTCTTGAAAGACAATCAATTGTACGTCAAAGCTTCAGAATGAAAATTTGGCCAATCAGAAGTAGATTACTTGGGTTATAGAGTTACAACCGCATGAATTCAATTGATGAGTGAAAATATAAATGTCATTCAGAAATGAATAGCACTTGACGATCAACTAAGTTGAAGAAATCTCTAGGGCTCACTTGAACTATCGTAGATTTGTGAAAGGTTTTGCTCGCCTAGCAAAGGTCTTGACTTCTATATTAGGAAAAAGCTCAAAAATGGAGATAGAGAACAACTCAAGAGTTAGCTTTTCAAGCATTGAAAGATGTTTTGTTACACGCATCTATCCTCAAGTGATGTGATCCTAACCGTCCTATCAAGTCCTATGTCGCTCAGGTACAACAGTAGGTGACACACCTCAATAAGAATAGGAGGATATATGACATCCAGTTGTTTTTTATTTTTGAAAGTTGATGACGGCGGAACAAACTATCACACGACAGAACGAAAAGAATTAGTCATTGTGTTGGCAAACAAACACTTGAAGCATTACTTGGGTGATAAGGAGTTTGTGGTGAAAATTGTTCATAAACCCTTGGTTTATTTGAAAACTCACAAACATCTGTCTAAATGACAAATTTGATGGGCAGAGCGGCATTAATGTGTCAACATGAAGATTGTGTACGTTGAGTGTAAGAAACAATTTGCTGATGTTTTCACGCGCATGTTTTGTTTGAATCATATTGCAGAAGTGAAAATTCAAGCTGATTGATAGAGCAAGATGTTACAATTCACAAAGTAAGATGAATGGATTACTCGGGCACTACAAACTCAAAAGGCAAAAAAGTTTTGAGATTTAACGTTCTACAAACAACGTATATGGATTACACAAGATCAAAATTTGCGCACAACGATTTTGGCTGAAAGTTATGACACAGACATTGCAAGTCATGTGGGAGTGGACAAAACCGTGGAGAGCATACAACAAGTGTACTATTGGTCCAAAATACATGATGTTAAATCTTATGTTCAAAGTTGTGTTGCTTGTCAACAAAACAAGACAAGTAATCATAAACCAGCGGGATAAATGAATATTCATCTTCATTATCCATCTTTCTAACACTTTCATTGTTCTACTTCCTTTGTAAGCTTCCACTTTACAGGATTTCCTCATTCGAGGCAAAAAATTTGCTTGATCTTCAATCTCTTGAAGACGTCTCTTATTTGTCTCTGCTGCATCAATAGGAGTTGGTTGTGGCTGAACTTGGAAAGTTTGAACTTGAGTTTGAACTTCCATCTCTCCAACTCTTTATCTCTCTACTTTCTCACTCTAATGCAAAATTTTTATCTTCCATGGCTTGCTACTTGGTATGTCCATCTACTATCGCTTTTCTCAACTCCTTCATGTCCGCCATGATTGCGTTGAGAACCTCATCCATATCGATAGATGTTTCCATGCTTTCTCACACTCACTCTAATACAAAGTGAGTATTAGCACTATTTGACCTCTCAAAAAAGTAGCCACAAAAATGTATAGGTGATTCTATCACAACTTTATAATAAACTTTCCCATATTTCCTCACAAGAAAATCTCTCTACAATTTCTTTTGTCGGTATACTGTTCTTATCTTTACATAAGTGTTGAACCGAAATGAGACGGATGATTCGCGGTTCAAATCCATGAAACATTCAGTATAGAATGTACATGATACAATACTAAGTCTCTCCATAAGTAATTATCGGAAAAATCAGTGGCACTCTCGACTCCATCACTCTAGTCATAACATCTGCACCCCAACAAGCCACAAGCTACATCAAAAAATGATGTTTCTTCATGCAATGAAGTTGAATATCAAATAGGTTAGGAATTGGCCAATGGGGTACTGGATTCATGTCAAGCCCGTCCATATCTACAAAATCATAATTTCCTCCCTTCCACCTCTTTCTACATGCAGATCGATGACCTCTACATCCTCTAAACACTCTCAAAATTGCACTCCATCATCACTCACTTGCTATTCCATGAGGGGTAATCTACACTCAATGAAAGAGCAAGGTCGTTCTGATACTATTGTAACACTAGGGTTTAGAGA